CCAGTCTGAAGCAGGCCAAGCCAAGCCAAGCCCAGCCAAGCCAAGTCCTATGTTTAGCTGCTACGGTGGAGCGGTTCATCACTTGTTCAATTGCGAGATGCGGAAGGGCTGCTGCTGTTTGTGCGTTAAAGCAACTTGGGCACTGTGCACCCAAAGAAGAAGAGGGCGCTCGAGAGATACTCCATAGCTAGGCTAGCGGTAGAGCAGGAGGACGGCGGCCAGAGCTGCCAAGGTGCAAGTTACCTGAGTGGGTGTATCCAGGATAACGATCCAGGGGGGGGAGAGAGAGAGAGAGAGAGAGAGAGAGAGAGAGAGAGAGAGAGAGAGAGAGGAGGCAGAGCTAGTCAAGTCAGAGAGAGAGAGAGAAGAGGGGAGAAGCCATAGCCGCTATCTGGTTGAGATCCGTTGTGCGTGTGTGTGCGGCAGAGCCGGTGCAGACAACACATTCTTGTATATTGATAATAATATTGGAGACGACATCTTCAAGTGTTGATTGTTTCTAGATTTGGCTTCTCACGTGTGAACTCTCATTTGATGTTCATTTATGTATGCGAGGTTGAAACTTGACGATTCTTGGCTCATTTTAGTGGTATCAGAGCCGGTTCCCGCTGCATCCGCTCGAAGCTGAGACGCGGGCAAAAAAAAAAAGAAAAAAAAAAATTAGGGTTGACTGCATGTTGAGGGCCGAAGAAAAGAAGGGGCATAGCAAGGAGCAAGGGGAGCATGCACCTGCGATCGAGGAGCTTCATTGAGGGAACGTTCAAGGAGTGAAGTGCTTCTTTGCCTTGGCCCTATCGTTTATGCAATTTGAATTTTGTTGTGAATGGTACCTTCCCACGTACTTTCCTGGTGACCTCTGATGCACATCGATTTTTGTTGATGTCATCTTGTCATTCAAGTTTGCAGTCGCACTTGGTCTGCTTGTTGCTTGGTGAGTCAGAGACCAATCTCTCCTGGAGGAAAGGCTCCTTCCCCTTGTGGGGGAAGTGGTTGGGGTTGCCGGCCTACCGGGGTGGGATCCTAATCCTGTGAGAGTGAAAGTTTCGTGTGTGATATAGGTCGGTCTAGGGTAGCAACTCGAGCTGGATGTATCCCCGGACCTAGTAGGGAGTACGGGCAATAAGCGGCCGACGCTCGTAAAACGACCCGGCTATGCGCAATGACCGGTACAGACTGGTATGCGATCGAAGACTCTATGGGACGCAGGGAGAAGTTGTAGAGGGAAGCAGGGTTCGCCAGTTGTGCAATGCACGGACAGAGTAAGGGTGAGACGTAAGGTCCACCAGTTGTGGATGACAGGGAGATCCCCCAAGGATCGGTACTGAACGTCTGGCTAGTCGCTGGTGGTAGTTATACCCGAAAACCGCTGCAATCAGTGAGGAACGAGTCCTTCGTAACGGTCGACGTGACGTCCTGATTGTGTCCTTAAATAATTCCGGAGGTCTGTGCTGGCTGACCTTAAACTGTCGGTTGCCCACATGATGTTAGGGGAACTGTAGTGATATAAGTGGGAAGGGAATTAGTTTGTTATACCCTGATTTAGGTTAAGATTAGTGTAAGTGTTGAGGTGTAGATCTAAGTGGTGAGGAGGCCGAGTCAAGTTACCTTTGCTGACCTGCGATGTATAGCTTGTTGGCCCTGTCCGCTATATGCCCCCCGCCCTCCGTTTCCTCTTTCTGTTGGGATTCGCCCGGACCTTTCACATGCACTATGTGAGTCAGTCCGGATCGTCCATGGAGCCATACCCCGCTGAACAGCAGGCCAAAATTGATAGGAGGATGGCAGAGAAGAAAAGGGAGGAGGAGGAGAAAAAGAAGGAAAAGAGGAAGAAGAAAGACTAGGAGAAAGAGAGATTGGAAAAGGAGAGAAGGGATTCGGAAGAGAAGCTAAAAACGCTGGAAAAACAGAAACAGCAAGTTGATGTGGTAGAAGAAGAAGAAGAAGAAGAAGAGAAGGTGAGGCTGAACGACCTCAGGCATAGGGTTGAAGGAGGTGTGCGGACTGAAAAAGGAGAGTCCAATCAACTGCAGCTCTACCCAATGGACACCCAGACGTGGATGGAGAAGTTCGGGTTCAAAAAGGATGAGTGGGCAGCAGAGTTAGAGGCCGAGAGGGTCGAGCTCACAACAAAGTTGGAGGTGGTAGAGGACAACGCGGAGAGGGGACTGCTGATGCAGGAAAGAGAACATGAATTATATCAGCGGCTCCTGATAAAGAAAAGGGCGGAGTTGGAGGAGGAGGAGATTGAAGGCTCAACGGGAAGAGATTGAACGCTAGCTAAAAGAACAAAAAGGCCGTGAGGGGGAATGGAGACGACCGTGCTCTTATGGTCAACGCCCTGCTGCATACTAACCAGGAACTCGCCGCTATAAACAAGTCTGTTGTCCCACTTGAACAACACAACCATGAGTTCAAGGGCACTTGAAATAACTAAAGTGTTGCTGCCCACCGTATAGACGAGCGCGTCGTGGGATATCCACAACAACTGGAAGGAATATTCACCTCGAAATTAATACACACCTCGCCATGATGAATTCACGAGGTGGTGGTGGAGGTGGAGATGCTAGTGGTGACGCTGGGAAAGGAGACAGAGGCCCTAAAAAGGAAGGAGATCCGGAAGGGGAAGAAAGGTCATCCGAAGGGGGACAGAGGAGAGAGAAGATGAAGGTAAAGATCCCCTGGACGTATCATGAAAAAAGAGAAAACTTCTATCAATGGGAGGCGCACATGGGTACCTACCTATACAGACAGATGATACCATACTGGGACCATGTGTTGATGGCAAGTTCGTGCCTTGGGAGAGATGCTGCAAATTTTGTTGTCTCCCTAATGGAGGCAGTAGGGTGCACATCGATGGTAGAATACTCCCAACCGACCCGCATTCCTAGCCTTAAAAAATCGGTTGAGGACAAGAACCTGGCCAGACGTATTAAGCATCTGAGCCTCAACATAGCCAATCGAAAATGGAAGAGTGTGTCGGCACTAAGGGCCACTATGGACGAACTCTTGCAGTGCCTCGAGCATGGTCTCACTCCAACGCAGGTTTTGAACAACTTTGCACAAGTAATATCCCCGAGCCCCATCGATCCCAATTGTATGCCCAAGCCAAGGAAGAGGGCATGACATGTGAAAAATTTAGTAAAATGGATGTAGACCACGCTGGCTTCCTCCAAGAGGCAAACCATTGCCATTATTGGAAGGGTTTACAAAAAGGAGCCCGCTGGAAGAAAAAGTCGTTCGAGGGCGGAGGAGTCGAGGAACTGCCCTATGAAAATATAGATTATGGATTGGAAGACCCGAACAGCAACCGGGCAGCCCAGGGACGGGACTATTCGGCTGCTGCAGCCCGCACGGGAGGGCAACAAGGAGGAAGAGGAGGCTGAGAAAAAGGAAGCCGAGGAGGAGGTGGAGGAAGAGGACGTACTCGGTGCACTTGTCTACTGCACGCACCCCTAACAAACTGCATACAGGTTGGCGACCCAGAAGTTCAATTGACTACTTCAATCCAGATCAGATTCAAAGACTGCCACCCGATACAAGGGAGTTTGCCATTCAATACGAGAAGGATCTAGAGCAGGTCAAAAGGAAAATCCTTAAGGCTCAACACCAGGTGGTAGAAATAGCTAACAAACATCGACGACCATCCCAGTTGGCAGTAGGTGACTTGCTATGGGTCAAGTCTAAGGAGTTCGGTCCTGAAGAAGGGATCTCGTAGAAACTATTACCTGTAGGGGGCCATGGCAGGTCCTAGATGTTAAAGGAGAGGCAGATGTCTTATCCGTTAAGCCTTTTCAATTGCTACATGCAAAACTGTCGACTTGTCAGTGGGCCATTGGGGACCTGGTGTGGGACCTGCACACCATGCTTATCAATTTGAATTGCGTGGTGATTATCATTGTAGACCGACAGGCATGTCTATGGGGACTAAATGCTGGAGAAAACATGGAAAGTGAGAGTGGGAAGTGAGTGGAAGAATTCCGATCTAAGATAATACTAAAATCAGCATAACAAAATGAAATTAGGTGGAGTTAGTGGTGAGATGTGGGCCTTGGACAACACATCTGGGACGAAAAGCTCTGCGGATCTCCTACCAAAATATTCTCGTGTCTACTCGGGGGAGAAATGGACAACGAGACAGGCAGATGGTGCCTCATGGACTTGAAATGGAAGGAGGAAGAGGTAAGAATCATTGATGAACAACCCATCTAGGAGGAGACTGGAATGCTACCCCGGACCCGAATAACGATCGTATCTCCCGGGCAACGCCCACACAAACTTCATGAAGCGGCTCCAGTCCAGACTTATGATGGACCATAACTTAGTGGATCCATTCCGTACTCTGCACCCAGGCAGAAAAGCTTTCTCCCTGCTCAAGAAGAACCACAGACATCACACGGCCTTCTGCCCGATTGATTACTTCCTTGTCTCCGGAGCCTTAATGGGAACTTTCAGAGTTGCAGATATCCTGTGTAGTGTGCTCAGACAATGAACAGGAAAACGTCATACACTGCCTAAGCACATGCAAGGTCGCTACTGACTACTGGGCAAGAGCATCTGCCCTCTGGAACTACCTGTTTTCTTCCTTCCACGAACACCCAATCCAACTGCTCCTCTGGACCAACGTTCCCACTAACTTGAACAAGGTTGAGCGCATCTGGTTTGGCACGATTCGAAGGTGACACTCTATGCAGCAGAACATTGGATCCAAGTGCAGGAGAATCAGGACGAGCAGCACGAGATTCTGGCAAAGTTCATGAAAGTATGGCTGATCAGTGGAAAGGTGGTGAACATTCATGTACTTCACCTCAGATGGGAAGACTGGCACAACTCCTGCCTGGTGCAGAGAGAACAGGGCAATCACCTCCCACGGCCTCAAGACTTCAGAGCTACGTATTTCGGACGTATGACCATGGGCACACTTACAAACAACCTGGTTACAGCACTTAAGACTTACAGCAGTTCTTCTCTCGGTGCTTCTTGCGTTTAAGGCTATTTGACAGTGTCTCTGATGAAGACTCTGACAGGAATCACAGGGAAAGGCAAGCTGACAGTCAATCCTCCACCAAGTGGAGTAATCAATGCTGATCAGGGATCCTTTGGCCTGACGGAAGGAGGCTTGAGTGGGTACATGATGTAAGACTGCTTCTTTGACTTGCTGGGGGAAGAAGAACCGGACTGAGGCTCCCCAGAATCGATAAGTAGCCAGGACCACAAGGACCTGTTAAAAAAAAAAAAAAAAAAAAAGTTTTGGGCGGGGCCCGGGCAGGTCGCCCGGGCAAACCGGG